CCCCGCTTGCCATGCCTTCACTCTCTTTTTCTCTGTAGCAAAGATTGTTGATTTCAACTTTCAACATCAGGGCCCCAGCTGATGCCCAGCCCTGTTACCCCACTGCTTACACCCACCCCTTTTGGCCCTTTGTATTTCTGACACGACCTTTTTTTCTTTTTTTCCTTTTGAAAATGGCCGCAACTGCTTCTTTGCATTAGGGTCCCTGTGTTCATCCCACTGTGTTTCTTCCCAAGGTAATCACTTAGTCCAGAGTTGCATGAAAGCCTACCTGAGAGCAGGACCTGGCCTGCTCTGTCCTGGGATGTCCTGTCATGCAAGACATCAGTAGGTTTTTCTCCCAGGCTGCCAGTCCAGCACTGGTCTGGAACAACATCCCTGATGTCAGTGTGTCTATTCTGGGTTTACAGGGAAAGAAGCTTTAGTGTTCTCACGTAAATTACGCCAATGAAAAAGCTGTCATAAATCATTATCTCAGGATATGATTGTACAGTTACGCAGCTCTGGCTACTCCATCCGCTGCCACAGGTAACACGTTCCTGTGAGTGAGGTTTGTTTTCCTGAGATAAGAGATGTGTTGTCATAGAAAGATTTCTGAAGTGTCTCATAGCCCTGTGCAGGTGATTAGGATGCTGTTGACATCAGTGTTTCTAATGGTATCCAAATGGCTGCACACATAGGACCCAAATGTTTCAAGCGATTCTCTTACCCTGCTTGAAGCTTTTGCAGTGGACAATTAAGCAGCTGTACCTGAGAGACTCACACTGACCAAATCCTTCCTCAGTTAAGCACAGCTGACCTTCCACCAGCATGGGGCTCATCCCTCTGTGCTTTATGGAAATAAACTGGATCACACACAGCAGTGTGATTGAATTGGCAAGGAACTAACCAGTTTGATCCAAGTTTGACTTTCTTCTCCACCTATAATGTTCTGTTCTTGTGGTGCTGAATAGTCTTCTTTTCTCTCTGTAGACATTAGAGGACAAAGAGTGAGCACTCAGGACACAGTTTGGTGTGTTTAGGTCATAGGAAGATTACACCTTCAAGAACCCACATTGTTTTAGTCCCATACACTTCTGAGCTAGGTCTGCTTTTGATAGTTATGTTCAATTTCTCTCATGTATAGTCTGACATGGTAGACATCCCTTTCCTGGGTGTCATCTGTGGTTTCTTCAGTTTGTTTGAGAGTAACAGTCCCCTCCTTTCCATGTGGCTGGCACCCAACTAGAAATCATTACCTTCTTATGTTGTGGCCAACAACTAACCCAGAGAGTAGCTCTTACTGCTTTCCCTTCAAGATGAAAAACAAAGAAGGGATTAAATTTGTTCTTATCATCTGAGTTGCATTTTTGTTTGTGGTAAGGATCAGTAAGTTCAGGTCCTGGCTGTAACCAAGGAACAACCAAGCATAGTTTTATGAGAAGCTGTTCACAAACTGAAATATTATCCTGGACACATGGTTTTGTCCTCATGGAGGGTACCGAGCTCAGGGTTTGGCTCTCAGGTAGATAATGACTGAGACGATGAGGCATTTCTCACAGGCTCCACTTGTTCCAGGGTCTATTCGCTTTAATTGCCTCAATTATTTTTAGTCAATGGAGGTAAACTTTCCATCCAGGATGTAGGGAAGCTGTGCTCTTAGGACTATTTCAAACCCCATTCAGAGACTAATAATAGCAGGACAAAGGACAACAGTATCAGGAGAAACAAGGTGACCGGCAGGTCGAGCGAGGTGATTCTGCCCCTCTACTCTGCTCTGATGAGACCTCACCTGCAATACTGTGTCCAGCTCTGGAGCCCTCAGCACAAGAAGGACATGGAACAGTTGGAGTGGGTCCAGAGGAGGGCTATTAAAATGATCTGAGGGCTGGAGCGCCTCTCCTATGGGGACAGGCTGAGAGAGTTGGGGTTGTTCAGCCTGGAGAAGAGAAGGCTGCGGGGAGACCTGATAGTGGCCTTTCAGTACTTAAAGGGGGCCTATAGGAAAGATGGGGAAAATCTTTTTAGTAGGACCAGCTGTGACAGGACAAGGGGTAATGGTTTTAAACTAAAGGAGGGTGGATTTTGACTGGATATAAGGAAGAAATTCTTACAGTGGGGGTGGTGAAACACTGGAACAGGTTGCCGAGAGAGGTGGTGGAGGCCCCATCCTTGGAAACATTCCAGGCCAGGTTGATCGGGGCTCTGAGCAACCTGATCTGGTTGAAGATGTGCCTGCTCCCTGCAGGGGGGTTGGACTAGATGACCTCTAGGGGTCCCTTCCAACCCAAAACATTCTATGATTCTATGATTCTATGACCTGCAGCGTAAGGTGGTCCTAGACTCAGAATCATAGCAGAGTTTAGGTTGGAAGGGACCTCTGGTGGTCCCCTGTCCTGCCATCTGCTTAAAGCAAGGCCACCTTCAGTGGTAGAGGAGGTTGTTCGGGGCCTTATGTGGCTGAATTTGAAGACCTCCAAGGAGATCCTTCTCTCTGGGTCCCTGTTTCAGTGTTTTGCTATCCAACTGTGACTTTTTTTTTTTATAACTGGGTGGAATTGCCCTTATTGCAACATGTGCTGATGGCCACTTGCTGTCTTTGCCGTACACCTCCAAGAAAAGCCTTGCTCTGTCTCCTTTGCAGCTCCCCATTAGTGGGGTGTAGTTCTTAGATTCTCTTTGTCAGGTTAAGCAAACTCCTCTCCAAGGAGAACTGGTTTGTACTCTCCCATTTCCATCCCATCAGTACCTCCAGCTCAACTTCCTCATCTTTTAATTTCTTGTCCTGCCTGTGTGTACCTCATCCCCCACAGCCTCTTCTGAGCATGCACCAGTCCCCAACCTGACCTTTCCTGCCTAGCTGGCTCTGTTATATTAAGCTAAGCAGTATATGCACTCTGAGTGATTGCACTCTTGACACTAAGAGTGTCTTCTACAAGTGGTCAAAATGAGCTCAAGCCACTATGGGCTAGTAAATAACAGTTCTAATACAATCTCTGGGATTGAAAAATTACTCTTAACATTTCTGTACTGTGATACCATTAAATGGTCATCTGCTGCTTAATATATCTTGGAGATATGTTCTATGGGCTCAGTTCTGCCAACCTACTGTCTTTAGAAAATGTGTTGTCTCCAACAGGATGTACTGGATGCTGGTGCCAAATAGACAGACCTCATTAGCTTCCCACATCCTCTCCAATCAGCAAGATCTGCAATACAGTGGGGAGGTATTTGCCTAGAAAAGCAATCAGGTTTACTGTTTGTTGAATGGATCCTCTCCACAGGAGGGAACCGTGCAGTATCACATAGGGCAGGGACCTCAGGCCCTTCAAGTCCTTGCTCTGCCACTCATGTTCTGTACAACCTTGGGCAAGGGGCCAACTTTTCAAACATGTCCTGTAAGTTCATGACCAGCTTGAGATATCTCAGTCATGATTGTAAAAGATGGTGCACACCCACAGGCCTGTGTTAAACAATGGGAATTCAGCACCTTTTGGAGAACACCAAACACCAGTTCGGTGAGGAATAACCATAGGAGCAAAGAAAAAGAGCCCTGACTTGTGGCAGAGCTGAGTATCTATCTCTTACTGCTGCCAGCTTCACCTCTCTGAGCCATTCTTAGCACAAAAAAAAATCTGCGCTTTCATGTCCCTGCATGTGACAACTCCTTTACTCCATATGTATCAGTGTGTGTTCATGTATATGTATCATATGATTTCTATGCCTGCTCTCTCTACAAGCAATAAATAATCAAATAAGGTTAAAAATATTCTTATTCTGTACAGGGTGGTTGTGAGCTAATGTAATTCTCTTCTGGAGCCTCTGAGGTCTTCCAAGAGTTTCTTTTGTAGAGTGCATTAGTGTTGCAATTCATTTTGCACAAGGATAGCAGTCTGTAGAGGAAATTATTTGGAAAATGGAAGGGACTCAGGTCCCAAACTGTTTCTCATATGAAAGACCAGAAATGTGGCATTTAAGGAATGCTAGTAGATATGAGCAACACCAACATCATTCTCATCAATATAAGATGAAGGAATTTCTCCTCCTTACATCTTCCTTGGTACCTAAGGTTGGATTAGGCATATTCCCCCTGCCGAGAGAAAAGAACCTTTCAAACTCTATCATCTTAAAATGCCACTGTCCCTTATAATCCACACAAACCACTCCCTTCCTCCTTTTCCTCTGGCTCAAGAGGGAGCTTGTGGCTGCACTAAGAAAATCAGTGCATTTCACGCTATAACTGTTCCACTGTGTCCATGATATTCACAGAGGAAAAAACTCTTTGGGTATCCACTCATCCAAGGGGAAAACACTGGATGCAACTGAACTGTGTGACATTTCTTTTTCTTGGGGAATAGCAGGGAGACCTCTGTACCATTAAAGAAATCTCTAATCGACAAAAAGCTAAAGGCAGGCTAATGGCTGTGTTGACATTAACCCATGAAAACTGTTTAAACCTTTTCTTCTGGACTGCTGGTTATCCTTTAAGAAACCCACTCCCACTGCTGCTGTGTATTGAGAATCTTGCAGAAAAAAACAAGGATTTAAGGAATGTGGGACAGGACTTCCAATCTGATTTGATCTTAAAGAAGCTTGGCTTGGGCAGGGCAGTTTTGGTGTAACCTTTCAATCCCAGTGCCTGAGTCTTAGGGCCTGGTGTGGTCAGTGGTGAGTGTTTGTGAAGGCAGAGCTTTATCCTATGGAGAACAGTTCATCTACACTGTCACTGGCAGCAAGGAAAATGATGGAGAGATAACATAACCTTGGGGTGAAGTGAATTAGTGGAAGCGTATGAAAAACTAAACAATAGCCAGGGAAGCCTGTAAATATGTGCAACAGACACACAATAAGAAACTGAGCTTTTAAGCCTTTTCTTTTTTTTATTGTTGCTTTTTTCTGTTTATGGTAGAAATCCAACCGCTGCTGGATTCGCTCAGTGACTGTGGAAGTGAAAATATTAAATGCCATTCTATCTACTGTATGAAAATACATTTTTTCCCCCCCAATTTCTCTCTCCCCAGGGCTCTGGCTGACATCTTAAGGCAGCAGGGACCAATCCCAATAGCACACTGTGAAAGAGAGACTATCTCGGCCATAGATACCTCCCCCAAAGAAAACACCCCAGTCAGGACATCTTCCAAAAACCATTACACCCCTGTGCGCACCTCCAAAAGTAACCCAGGTAAGTGCTGCTTTTCTGTTCTCTCTCTTCAGAGGTGGTGGTATGAGATGCATGTTAGAAGTCAGCAGAACATCACACTTCACAATCATGGATTTTGAGATCCTAAAATTAGGATAACAGATGACTTTAAAAGGCAACCAGAGCTGAGGAGTGCAAGGATCAGTGGTGACGATTCTTTAGGGTTTTTGCTGAACAGCGTGGCTGTTTTCTCTAGGCATTTTAAAAGTTCAGAATCAGTGAGGTATAAATACAGCGTATACCAAAATGCTTGTAGTAAGCTTAGAACGTTGTGTATTTCCAACATAACGCACATGCTATAAAGCATAATTGGGCCCTCTGCACACAGCAGCTGAGAAGGAAATCCACACAACTGAGGCCACCTTATTCATTCAGGTGAACTATAGGCATGTGCTGAGAGGAAAGCGTGGAAGGTGTCTAGAGGGTATCCCAGGAGCTTAAAGACACTGGCCTGACATCCTCCAGGACCACTGGTCTGGGAATTGGGACACGGATTTTTTTTTCCAGCTTCTACTGGCTGGGTGAATTTGGGCAAATCATTTGTCTGCTCTTTGCCTTCATTTCCCCAGTGGCACAGGGAAGCCAGCCCAATACTGTTCTGATTTATTTAATGCTTCATGTATTGATAATTGTCAAAACAATGTCTCAATGGGTGCTGACCACCTTTGTTAAGTGGGATGGGGTAGACTCGCCATCACTTGCCATCTCTCAGTTGCAACTGGTTGTGTGCCTCAAAGATATGCCCTCATTCAGTCACAAGCTATTCAGCTTCGCATAGAGGTTTCTGGGTGGCATTTCCTGACCTGTGTCACCTGTCAAGCAGAGGAGGTTTTGCTAATGGTCCCTGCTGTGGAAGCTTCTGAAGGAAGCTAGCAAGGAACTCAGACTGCTCCACAACCTGCGGGGCTCGATATGGAAAGGGCACAATACTGAGGGCTGTGACTGGTTTCTGTTGCCTCATTGCAGTGACTACTAGAAGGGGTTTGCTGCAATGTGCATCACCCTATGGAGACAGGACCAGGTGACCGTGTTCTCTGGAAGCCTCCCCTGCAGCTGGGAACAAAGTAATTTCCCTGAGAACTAAGAAGGATTTCTTAGCTCTCCAACTGTAATTTTGTAAGCCAGGGAGTTATACCTGTGAAATAAAGTGTTAGGCTGGAGAAGGGTAGGTACATGAGGTGACTTGTCTGGAAGGGGAAGGTGCTTTTGCATATCTAGGACTTGAAACTGGCTCTTGAGAGGATATGTGATTTTGCCCCAGGATAGAAACACAAGAAATCAGGGTTTATGGCCAGGGAACAGGTATAGGCACCATCAGAGAACAATTCTGACATAAGCCTTATGATGGGATGCATCCCTTTCTGAAGAGACCCTGTCTCTTCCTGTTGGCTCCCGTTGGTCAGTTAGGGCAGGCAAATCCTGAATGAAGATGCAGAAGAAATTCTTTGCTTGCAGCAGAAGAGACAGATGGATACAGGAAGTCTGAATTCTGAATTCAAGTGTCATATTTAGGTACTGTCAAGTCTGGGAAAAGGCAAATGGTCACGCTACAAAGTGACAGCACCTGGTAAGGAGTCTACTTCGTCCTTGCTGAGGCCTGAAATATGAGATGAGGTAGGCAAAAGGGCTGGGAAGGAAAAGGCATGCTTTAAAGACGACAGTCTGTTTGTTTGGCCTCTGCTTGCCTGTATGTTTGCCTGTATCATGTGAAGGAGAAAAGCTGTGACAGTTCTGTCAGGGCTGAAGCAGGCAAGCAACAAGCAACAGGAGCCCATGAAAAGAAGATATTCACAAACCCAGCTAGAAAGGAGAGGGACTTACTTCCAGCACAGCCTTCCCCAGCCATCGGCAGCCCTGGGGGTAATTGATCACTTCTGCCTTGGGTCAGCCAGTTGGACCAAATGCCACACTGAGCCCTTGCCAAAGCTGGGAAGGGAAAACTTGCTCTTGTAGCTTGCCCAAAAGAACTTGTTCCTGGCTTGGTTGTGTCCGTTATTAACATATCCTTATATATCATACGAGACAGAAAGCTAATCACTTACAAAAGATCATGAGCTCATAAAAGAGCTATGCAGTTAATGTTTTTTTATACTGTTTCATTTGCAGAATAGGGCAATGCTCTGTTGTAGCTATACTCTGTTACTCAGCTAATCTTCAGATTATTGCGGTAATCAGGAAATTGTATAAGTGAACAATAAAATCTTTTGGGCTGGGAGGGAAGTAAAAGATGGAAAACAAGAATGGGTTATAGCACATTATACTTGAATAAAGCTGATAAGCCCCAGTATGGAAGTAGAAGAGGGGTCACCATCAATACTTGGTTTTGGAGGAGGAGGTGAAGAAAAGAAATAAAAAGAGGGAAATGGGGGACAGCTGGGGGAAAAAACAGAGGCAGTAATATGTAGTAGCAGCATCCAGGCAAAGCACTGGTCATTGGTGCTGCAAATCAGCTTGAGAAGACCACAGCTGTAAGGTTTTGCAGTGGGATCTGAAAAGCATCGGGCCTGCTGGCTGTGATTTGTCTCAGGACTCCAGAGTATGAGAGGTTAAGCAAGAAGAAAGGACTATAGTTGTTACATGCAGAACAAGATTGAGTTTTATATTTGTTTTACTTGGAATTTTTGTTTCCCAACTTATAACAAGAAGGGTGCCCTTAAGTCTTGCTAAATAAACCATATCTTCATTTTTCCATTAGGCTTGTTTGGTGTCAGCGAACAAAATGATTGTGGCTGACAGTGACAAATCGAGGTAGTCTGTGTCTGAGGTGGTAGAGTCCAAACAAACCAGCTGCTGAGGGCATGCCTGCGGCACATAACTGAGAATCCTTTAGGTTGGAACAGATCTGTAAGATCATCAAGTCCAAACTTGCTGGGTGGTGCCTGGTGTTTCTTGGTGCAAGTATAGAGAGGAGTCCATCTCCCCCCTGCCAGCTCCCACCCTTCCTGCAAGTGCTCAGGCAGGCCTCAGGTAGTCACAGGATGGGAACGTACAATGTCCTCTGGTAGCTCACCAAGCCACAGGCACTGTCTCCAGCTGTCACAGATGCCTGGTTCAAGACCAATGAAAAGTCCTCTGTGTGTTTGCCCAGGCACTTCACAGCAGGTGGTTTCAGAACTCTCTAAGCTCTGCAGTGGGACAGGAGGGCCTTGTGATAGGTTTAGTTTGTACTTCCCCATTGAGCTTTGAGATAGAAGAACCCAGGCCTAAATAATTATTGTTTAAGGGGAAAAGAGAAGTAGGTCTCTCTGTCCTAGATATGGAGACAATTATCATTCCTCAGACAAGGCAGCTGGTTTTCAAGGTTTCAGCCTACTACTTTACAATAGCCACCTTCCCCAGGTAGTGTGGGACCCAGCTATTTATCAGAAGCAGAATGCATTTCCCACACTGGATTCTGCTGAGTTTGAGCATTCCAAGTGTCCGAAGAGCATCTCTCCAGAAATATTGCCACTTTTGCTTTCCTCTGAGAATCAAGCTCATGCCCTTTTGGCATGGCAGGGGACAGTTCACCTCCCCTTCCACCCACCCTCACTCCCACTGATATATCTGTTCATTCACTTTTATACAGTGCTGCTCTTTGGGTGGTGGTAAGCTCTTTGCACATAAGAAAAGCCGAAAGCTGTGCCTACAGGTTACTTGGGTCAGAGCACACCTTCAGCTGTGCACCACCTAATTAGTATGAGCTACAGCCCTCTGTAGACAGGAGCACTCCTCCAGCCCACACAGGCCTCTTGTTGGTTCACTGATTGCTATTGTGAGTAACAGGTAAAATGTTGAATCTGAGATTACAGGAAATCCATCTCATCTAGCTCTCTATTGGCATTTTTAATGTCTCCATCGCAGTAACACCTTTAGGGGGGTTAGAAGGAAAACTCTAGCAACATTATGCAACATTAGCAATATTATGGCCTCAAGTTGTGCCAGGGGAGGTTTAGGTTGGACATCAGGAAAAATTCCTTCCCCGAAAGGGTTGTCAAGCTCTGGAAGGGGCTGCTCAGGGAAGGGGTCGAGTCCCCATCCCTGGGGGTATTTAAAAGCTGGGCAGACGAGGTGCTTAGGGCCAGGGTTTAGTGGTGGGATGGCAGGGTTAGGGGAATGGGTTGGGCTTGATGATCTTAAAGGTCTTTTCCAACCTAAACGATTCCATGATTCTATGATTTCCCCTGTCTTTTCTCCTTGGCCACGTTATCTGTGCTGACATCTGTTGTGAATGTCAGTGCCGTTCATTTGTTCCATGTATGGCCAGCAAGCATAAGCAAGAATGAGGATAGATGGGAGAAAGGCCAATAGTTCCTGCGGGCTTGGAAAACGTCATGCATAAGCAGCTATGTGCTCCCGGAGAGGAAGGTGCTGCATTTGGCGCAAGAGACAGAGTTTGAGTCAGAGGCGATCCTCCTGCAACATCCACCATCAACTGGTGCATCAGAAAAGTTGAGGGCAGTTCCTGTGACAGTGATGCCAATGGACATAGGCATTAGTGGAAAAATTAAGACTAGATTCTCAGCTCACATGACTACTTCCAATACCATCCTTGGATATTTGAACACCTTCTGAAAGTCAGATGCCAGGGGTTGGTTTGCTTTCATCCCAAAATGTGGCTGAGCCAAGCAACTGCAAGATTCAATCCCTGCAGAATTTGTCAGATAGCAGTTTTCTGGCTGCCTTCGTGATAGAGGGGGAGCCAGCTCAGGACTATCAGTCATGCAGGGAGCTGTCCCATTACTGCTTTCCAAACCAAGACCAAACCGCAAAAGACTCCAAGTAAGAATTTGAAAGACATCTTTGACTGGTGTAAATCAGTGTTGTACTATCATAGTGATGGGACATGGGCTTGGTTTAGGTAAATGCTTATGGGTCAGGGAGGCTTCTGTCCCAGACTCACAGCTGGTACAAATCTGCAGTGCTCCAGGGCAGCACATGGTCTGAATTGAGCCTTTATCCCCCCATCATTCTGGCTATCCACCCAGTCTCATTCTGGCTCT